CACACACACACACACACAAAACTCCATGGCAAAACCATTCAACACTTCAAACAACACAGCATCATTTGAGGAGTACTTGCCTACCCATGAATGACACTCAACTACTATGGTGGTCTGAATGAGAATGGCGCCCATAGGCTCACACATTTAAATGCTTGTTCCCTAGATGGTGGACCTGCTTGGGAAGGACTAGGAGGTGTGACCTCATTGGAGAAGGTGTGTCGCTGTAAAATGTAAGAACTATGCCAAGTCAGAAGGACCTGGACACAGCCTCCACCACCCCATTCCATACCCAGACTTCCCATCTCTTCCTCCAAGGTCCAGCCTGATGAGTACCCCAGAACGCCCAATCCTTATTGCTCCACGACCTGCCAGGTCTAGTCTGGGCTCCACAACTAGTGCCCCACCCTAGTCTGGCCACCTGTGCCTGCACTACAGCCGAGCTCTGGGCCTCCACAAAGACCTGCTCCTACCTGCAACCACCCACAGGTTGCTTGTGAGTCACCTTCACCACCCCACTATATATCCAGACTTCCTATGTCCTCCTCCAGGATCTAGCCTAGTGAGTACCCCTGACCTCCCCAACCATACCTTTTTTTTTTTTTTTTGGACCCACTAGATTTAGCCTGGGTCCCACAACTAGTGAACAGCCTAGTCTGGCCTTCCCTGCTGAGGAGCTCTAGGCTTGGCTCAGGACTGTCCCCAAACCACAGGACTCTCCAAGTCACAGCCAACCTTTCCACTCAAACCGATCTACCCCCACACTCCAGGCTCGGGACGGGAAGCATGTTCTTAGACCAGCCCAGTCCTCTGTCCACCTGGCCTCATTCCACCCAAGCCATTTCCAACCTCTGGACCCAGCCTTCCCCTAACCTGCTCTGCCAAATTCAGAACAAAGGAAGTCGCACACTCAAACTGCATCACAAGAATACTAATATGAAAGATCAAGCCGGTCTCTCCTCTCCAGAACCCACCAGTTCTGAAGAAATGTTTGCCAATGAGAATTACCTAGATCAGAGGTTCTCAACTGTGGGTCATGACCCCCCTGGGGGGGTGGAATGACCCTTTCACAGGAGTCGCCTAAGACCATCAGGAAAACACAGATATTTCCATTAAGATTCATAACAGTAACTATCGAGGACTATGGGGGTCCAGCCCCTCGATAGTCCCCTCCCAGGGTCCGGGAAGAATCTACAACCAGCTGATAATTAATCTTGGATAAAAAGAAGTGAATCTATGTACACAAAACTCCTTAGTCCATATACTTTATTATTCTGTAACAGTTATAAGTTTATATTCTGCTCTCATTTTTAGGTCATCTTTAACCTGATTTCTCTCTACACTTGTCTGCGATCCCCTCTAGGTTTTATCTTAATTCCTTCATCTAGTTCTGCCCCTTCTAGGTTCCCATCCATCTTGTTCCTTCCCATATCATCTCCTCTCCCGTCTCCTCTCTCCTCTTCTTGTTCTACTTCATCTTGTTCTTCCCCATCTGGCTCTTTCTCATCTTCCATCTCGTTCCTCTAGTACTCTCCTGTAGCCCTTCAATCTACTTCTTCCCCATCTCAGTTTGTTCCTCTCAAGTTCTTACCCATCTAGTTCTTCCATTCTCTTTTCTCTTCTCTGTCCTCTCGTGCCCTGGAAGTCCTGGTATATTATACACTTACAAGCAGTATTCCCTTAGCAGTGCAAAACCAGGCTTCCAGGGTCAAATGGAGGGGTGATAAGAATCACATAGGGAGGCAATAACTGTTAATTATCATTTGCAACCCCAAAGGGAAGTGACCAATGGGAAATGGATTAACTAAAGGCTAAATTCAGGTAATATCTAAGAAGGGGGCTCTTATGTGCTCAACTATAATCTTAGAAAGTGTTAAGAATCTATAAGTTGCTAGGTCAATGGGAGAAAATAAAACTGTCTTCCTTTTTCCTGTGGCTCCTATCTGTCCAAGCTATCTGCCGTTTTTCTGCAGGGTGGGAGAAAGTGTGTTCAGTCGCTAGGCAACCTGTGTACAGCTTGATGCCTCTGGTGATAGTTAAAGGGAGATCTGGAACTGGAGGTAAGGTTTGGGAAAGGAGGAAGTAAGGCTTAATTGGCACATCCACCAGGCCTTCTCAAACAGGTAGCCTGGATGTTTAAGTCTATTCTTAGAAAGTA